ATGTGTCAATGTAATGGACGAGCATAATAACCGCGGGTCCCAGGGGTCACCGAGCGGCGATTCCAGTCCTCGTAGTCATTGACATAGATTCCCCCCGCACCCCACCCCCACCCATGTCGCAGAGAACATCTACAATCTGTCACGTCACCGGCGCATTATGCATTCGAACGTGACTCCCGCGGCTCTTATTAGCGCCCGCAGGAATATATATTTGGATGCCCTCGGAGAAAATAGAATCTTCCCGTGACCCTGATCCTGAAAGCATCATCGTCCGGACACCGACCGGCTCGTTCCGCGGCGATCGAACCGGCGCGGCGCGGCGCGCGATCGTTGCAGCTGCGAATTAGGAAACCGTCAATCATCGTTACGTAATTCCAGCGATTCCCCGGCATTAGCTCGTCAGAATCCTTTGCGGCGTTCGCGTCCAGGAGTCCGGACAACTCGACCTCTCTCGAATTCCGTGTACCACCTCGATCCTACGTTGGATCTTGATCGTCGGCTCGTACCGTGACCGTCGGGATCTATAATGTCTTCGATTCGCCGATAAGACGGAGGAGCGACAACCCTTTTCTACTCGGATACCGGATCGTGCAACGTGTTCGACTCGCGAAAGGCAGACGGCGAGGATTTATCGCCACCTATCGAGGAGATGAGCCTCCGAGTAGCGTTTGATGAACGTCGGCCTCGAACTGATGCGACTCGGTCTATCGAGATCGATTCCGAGTACGAGGAAACTTAGTAAATTGTGTTTTTGAATCGCGGACCTCGACGTTCTACGCGAACTCCTGGGTTTCTATATGAGTAGAATCGTTTATGTTTCTTTTTTAATTGATTTGGTTGGTGCGTATGGAATGTGGGATTTTGTTTACGTGTGGACGTTTGGCTCCCTGGTTTCGTTATGCTTTTGTTTTTGGTATAAACTCGTTTATGGTCGTTTATGGTAATGGCCACTGCCATTGTCAGAGTCACGTTTTAATAAAGAAGATTTTCGAAAAAGTGTTCCATTTTGTTGTTTGTTTTGAATTTTGTAAGGATACGAATTCTACCGATATTCGTGTGCAATTTTTTTAGATGAGTATAAAATTGGTAATAATGCTACAAAAGCTGCACGCAATATAGATTAGGCGTTTGGGGAGAATACTGTTAACGATCAAAATGTGCAGCGTTGGTTTGAAAATTTTCGGTCTGCTGATTTTTCCCAACAATTTTTCCCTGAAAAATCTCGTTGAGAGAAGCGTACTGAAGCAAATGAAGCATGTTTCAATTAAATAAACAACTTTTGAAAAAAGATATGCAGTTTTATAGTATAATATATATATTATATTCACTTAAAAACCCGACATTTCATACGCTCAGATTGTGCACAAAAGTGGACAATTTTGGAGGAGATATGATTATTCGAGCATTGCAGCTCACTTTTACAGTTCTTGACGATCGATAACCGTAAAAAAACGAGCCACAAGGCTCAAACAATCGTATCTCCTCTCCCCAAATTGTCCATTTTCGTGTACAATCCGAGTGTCAATTAGAGACATTACTGTACTATGATGCAGTTTATATCGTTTCAAAGTTGCACACTTCCCCTTCCAAGCGTGATTGAAATCTTCTATTTTTGCCAAAACTGCGATTTCGATGCGGTTGAATTCGTTTCAAGGAAATTCGTTTCAATTCCTTAATATCGTCCTTTTGGAAATAAACATTCTTCGACACCGATTTGACTACAGTAAATTCTCCCTAATTGACGCTTAGCTTGTACACAAATTTTGGAAAGGGAGATGTGATTATTCGAATCTTGCGCCTCCATTTTACAATTATTGACAATCGGTAACTATGAAAACGAGCCGCAACGCTCGAACAATCGTCCCTCCTCTCCCCAAATTGTCCATTTCTGTGCACAATCCGAGCGTCAATTAGAGAGAATTTACTTATTACTTTAGTAACATTCAAAGAGAATGCTAAATCGTACGTTCTATCCGTCCGATTCGTCGCTCTCTTCGATTCGAAACGGACGAAACTCGCAACGAAATCGCCGCCCGGAAGCACAATAACAAGAATCCCTGCGTTCGAAAGAAGAAGCGTGCACCTTCGACCAGAAAAAAAAGACACGAAAAGAAACCCAATATATTCATTCCCGCGATAAAGTCTCGGCCTGCTCGATACGCGCGCACTAAGTTGCAAACGCACGTTTTGCCGAGCACGTAAATCAAAGTGCATATACATACACGCGCGCTCCGAAAATAAGCCGGCGCGCGTTTGATAGAGGGGCAAGTCAACGTGTTAAGTACTGAGCGACAGGGTCACGCGAAGTGCATTGACCCAATGAAAAAGGAAATATTTTCAAGGGGTCCGCGAGGAGGAGGCGAACGGCGGAACTCGAATCAGGACTATCGATCGAGCCGGGACGGGAAAAGCGAGAACCGACGAGTCTCTCGCCGGGCGAGATGCGGTAGAAGAAGCTCTCGTGGAATACGTTACCGAGCGTCGTAGCCCACGATCCCGAAACGTCAGGACCCGGTGGCCGCGTCGGGACGCGCCGATCAATAGAAGACCAAAAGGCACATGTCCCGGCAGCTTCTCACGCGGCGTTCTTCCCTAGATTGGCGGGCATGTCGCCTGTCAAGTGTCCAGGTCCGATCCCGATCAGCCTGTCAGCTCGATGCACCCACGACGATCTTTAATCCCCGAGGAAACCTGTGCGATCGCGACGCTCCTCCATTGAACGGTATCCACTGTTGAAGCGGTGGCAAGGTCGCGGTAGGCGTTGGTCACTTCGGGGATAGGACACCAAATCCAAGTAAATAGAAAGTCACCGATTCACTGATCGGGGGAGGGAGGTTGCGGGTCGCCTGGAAAGTGAGCGGGACGCGGCTGACCGTCGACGACGACGACGGCGACGGCGACGAACGATCAAACCGGCGACGTCGGGTCACCAAGATCGATCGGCATCCCGTGACGGCTGGCGGCTCTTTCCGTTTTTCTTGGTCTCGTCGCCGCGACGCTAGCGTCTGACCGCGACGACGGCGTCGGGGTGACGTCGGTGAACGCGACGATGGCACGAGGAACAACGCGAAAGCCGAGAAAAGTCGGGACACTGGCCTGCCATCGTGCAGACCGACGACCCGGTGCGGCTCTCCCAACACGGCGACGCACTGCGCCGACGTCGCGACGACGACGACGTCGTCGCCTAGGCGACCGCGACCTCTCGCTCTCCTACGCATCCGCTCTTCCTCCTCGCGCGGAGGGTGGATCGATCAATCGAACCGAGCGCCGCGCTGCTCGAGCTATCGAGATGCGCGTCGGGAGGGAGGGTGGGAGGGAGGAAATTCTCGAGGATTACGATGTCTATGTAGATTCGTTTTCTCTATGATCCTTCAGTTTCTTTTTTCTTTTCTTTTCTTTCCTTTTTTTTTCATTGCATTTCTTCATCGTCTACCCGCGGATCGTTAAATCGTCAGATATTAACCCTTTCCACTCGAATGGCGATTCCAAGGCGCTATTAAAAATTGTTATATCACGTTTCAAAATAATTTTATTAATCGAATTTTATTATTTGTAGAACCGTTGAAAGGATAACTGTTGCATCAATCACAACATTCAATTTCAAACGTACAAAATGCATTAGGTTATATAAAATGGAAATACAGTCGGTCGGATAAACTATATTAAATTTTGCGTTAATTTGGCTTCAAGTGCAAAGGGTTAAGTTTCATGTTTCATTCGGATTTTCGTGGAATGGTTCAACGGTGGCTTTTGGTGCGCGATTCGTTGTTCAAGGCGGATTCGTTTACGAAAACGAGGTCGGTGTCTTTTTACGTGGGAGGGGGGAGGGTATCGTTCGTTATTCAGATTGCTATCTTTAATTTGAGGAAAATGCAATTGGATCAGTCTTTTTATTAGGCACATTTTGTCAACGCTAGATTTACGGAATCCGTCAAAATGGCGGGTCACTGATTTTTTTATTTACGATTATTCATACCGTAAAGATGAGTTATTATGAGTTATTTATTCCATTTATACGTTAATTACGGCAAATTTTACAATAACACCTGTTTAAAATCAGAATAAATTTCTAATAATAAATTCTAATAATTAATAAATTCTAATTATAATTCTAATAATAAATTCTAATACTGTTACTTTTATAAACTCTGATATAAAACAGCTGTTTTTTGTGCTCAGTAAATCTAGTGTCAATTATATTATAAGAAAGCAGTATTTTTTATACTTTAATTGGCACATATTGTATATATGTATACAGTTAGTATACACACCATTCGAAATAAACTAACTTTTTCAAAAGTAGCCGAACGAGTATACTTTCTTTCAAGAACTCAAAATAATCGATTTACTACGCGCGTTTAAGAAACAATTTGTCAAATGATAAAACATCGTTATGACACTGTAACATCGAAAACATTTATCGCGCGTGTTTCACGAACTTTTCGAAATGTAAATAATTTGTCGCAGATGGACGCAACGTATTTCATATGTAGACTTCGAATAAAAAGTTGTCCGATCCAATCTGCAGTATATACATACAATTTAATTATAATTTCAACATATTTTACGGCTTTCACGGTCCGGCAACATAGAGTTCTTCTGGCTGTGCAGCTGCAATTCTCGCGGAACGTCGAGAAAATAACTCGGAAAAAAGGCACGTTTTAAAAGACCCGAAGCAGAAATATACGCGTAATCGTGAAAAGAGAGACCCGAGATTCGGTGTATATATAGAAGATCATCCGGATCGAGATCTGCATTCGCTCGACGCGCGCGAATATCAGCGCGCACGTGAATCAGGGGCCTCGAAAAACTAGTCACGCACCAGTAATTATAAATTACCTACTTCACTTCGATCGCCGGCGTGCATATACAACTGGCAAATGGGATACGGTAAATATTATCGCGGTGATTTCACCTGGGCCCCGATGCTCGGCCGAGCAATTACCACTTGCAATTTAGAAATCTCGTGTCACTGATGGAATACGAACCATTTATTTCGAAAGCGGCGATAATCGATCGGTCGTCGTCGATTATTAATCGCAAGTTCGTACGTTCTCCGCATAGTAGGTGAACAGGTTAGACGAACGAAATGGTCAAGAATGCGATCAAAGTGTACGCGAGATTGAAACCGGAAAAGAACCGGAAGGCCGTCGTGGTACGACTTCGTCGTTCGCACTCCGTTCATTTTTTCATCGACATATAGAAATACCACATGACCATCGTTCATCGATCGCGACGCATTTCCAGAACTACGCCGTCCATCATCGTCCGAAAGAGGATCTCGAGGAGGATTTCTTGATCCTCGTTTCGCCGGCGCAAAAAACGCGGGACGGCCCCGACAACCGTCCGGAGTCGTGGAATTACTCGTGAGTTATCGGCACAACGATCTATCGGCATGGTATGCCTGTTATCATTCAGCCGGGCATTCGAAACTTTCAGTTTCTTCCGAGTGTTCGAGGAATCCGCGACGCAAGCGGACATCTTCGAGAGCGTGGCGAGGCCGGTTATGGAAAGGTAAAAGGAACGGTACCGTTCGTTAATTAGTTACGATACTACCTCGTGCCCCCATCGGCAGATCATTCACGTGCACCACTTCGTTTATTAAAGCGCTCTCGAAGGCTACAACGGGACCATTTTCGCTTACGGCCAGGTAAATCCGTAGAATCGATTTCTGTAAACTATTCTACGGCCTCCGTTCGTTTTACCGCTGTTTCGACCTTCGCTGGAGACATTTCTTTAACTCGAACTCTTTAAATCGGACAATTTTGAAGGAATACCTTAATAATTAAATTTGTAATTAAATTTGAAAGGAAGGGATGCTTGCATGTGTTCGAAGATTTAAGTCAGAGTCTATGTCAATACAATTATCTGTACAATTATTATCTATACGATTCCTGTCTCTTATACACATCTAGATGTGTATAAGAGACAGTTGCATGTGTTCGAAGATTTAAGTCAGAGTCTATGTCAATACAATTATCTGTACAATTATTATCTATACGATTCTATGTTAATTGCATAGGTAATAATTGTACAGATAAGAATTGTATAGATAATAATATGCAATTATTAATAGTAAACTATTCTCCGGTCACCGTTCGTTTTATGCTGTTTCGACCTTCGGTGGAGACATTTCTTTTTCAACGCTGTTTTAGAACCGTTTCATCGAACTCTTTAAATCGGACAATTTTGAAGGAGTACCTTAATAATTAAATTTATAATTCAATTTGCCAGGAAGTGATGCTTGCATGTGTTCGAAGATTTAAGTCAGAGTCTATGTCAATACAATTATCTATACAATTCTATGTTAATTGCATAAATAACAATTGTATAGATAATAATATGCAATTATTAATAGTAAACTATTCTCCGGCCTCCGTTCGTTTTATGCTGTTTCAATCTTCGGAGGAGACATTTCTTTTTGAACATTGTTTTAGAAGCGTTTCGTCGAACTCTTTAAACCAGACAATTTTGAAGGAATACCTTAATAATTAAATTTGTAATTCAATTTGCCAGGAAGTGAGGCTTGCATGTGTTCGAAGATTTAATTCAGAGCCTATGTCAATACAATTATCTGTACAATTATTATCTATACGATTCTATGCTAATTGTTTAGATAATAATATACAATTATTAATTAATTATTATCAATTAACATAGAATTGTATAGATAATAATTGTATACATAACTGTATTGACCTAGACTTCGACTTAAATCTTTGAACACATGCAACAATTATCTATACAATTAACATAGAATCGACGATTAACATAATGTCAAAAGAGCAAAATTTTATTTTGAGTTAAAGAAAACAATTATGGAAGCGATTTGCCACATTGAAAGTACCAAAGGGCCGCTTCGGTGCCGAAAGGGCCGAAGCTGCGAGACTTTAGAGGATTGTAACGTGGCAGTCGACGCGTTAACACGTTCTATGCCGAGTTGTTTTTACTCGACTTTTCACGCTGGCCATTTGATATTTTACTAAAACTTGATATATTATATGTAATTATTAATCATCGTATGTAATAATAAAACAAACTTATCATGACCCATTCTTGCGGTAGAAATAATTCTTCGGTTCTATATTTGCTACAAACTATTTTGTTAACGCATTAAAGAAACATGTAAGCATGTACCATCGATGGTACACATGGCACGGAACGTGTTAATCGTCGAATCTGCCATAACAAACTAACCAAAATCGAAACCCGACGCTTCCTGAGTCCATTGAAATTCCGCAGACGGCGAGCGGAAAGACGCACACGATCGTCGGTAGTCAAGTAAACAGCGACAGCCGCGGCATCATACCCAGATGCCTGCAATACGTGTTCGACGCCATTCAAAAGGTTAGTGTCTCTCTCATGTCTGGCTGGAGAACCACCATGGAATATGTGCACGCCCTTTAAATCACGCCGTAGCGGCCGGAGAACCTGTACACGGTCGAAGTGGCTTTTCTGGAGATTTACAACGAGAACGGCTACGACCTGCTCGATAGACGGCAACGAGAGTATGCGGTTACAAGATTGGAAGATTTACCGTAAGTTCCCGTGACGTAAATGGCGGCCCCTCGAGGTTCGCGGACGCGGATACTCGCCGATTTCGACGGGGAGAAAAAACAAGGCGGCCGCCACCTTTAAGGGAAACCATCGCGGCCGAGTTAGGCTGCCACCGGCCGAACGATCAACCGTGATTCCGACCGCTCCTCGAATACGGAGCGTTCGAGGCGCAACGCCGCCTCGGCTTTATTTCTTCCTCGTTTCTTGTCGCCGGACTTTCGTCACAGACAAATTGAAACGCTTCGAGGCGCTACGTGCGAACGAACCCCTCGCGAGGCGGGTGCTTTTGACGATTTCACGCTTCGCCCGGCTAGATCCGGTCAAATCGTTGCTCATCTAGGCTTCTTGCCGATTTTTCGTGCCGCCGCTCGCAGAACCGTCTTTGGTGTCTTTGTTACATCGAACATTTGTTACGTCTAACGCAAGAAGCCGGTCGCTGGAACTGGTTACCGAACGATCGCGGTATTTTTGCAATTCTGTAAAAACCACCGCGGAGAAGAAACGTTACACGAATGTAACGATGTAATCGCGTCGGTTTCAAATAATCGGAATGATTGAGAGGAGAACGAAGTTTCCTGCCCGACTCTCTCGGAGCAATAAACCTGTCAAGCGCGGAACATTTTTCAAAAATATCGGCTAATGTTTAGGGGTTTCAGATTTCATGAAGTATTTAATGAAGTAATTTAAATTTAAAGCGATAACATATTTTTTATATAATAAACATATTATAGTAATATATTAAAATATGATTATTATATTATTGCTTTAAATTTAAATTTCACCAGTTCGGTTTTGTCCATAATTTCATGGTTTAAATGAACGTCGAATTGGGCGAAAAATATTGTAGCACGTTTTCAGATTTAAAGACGTTATAATATATAATATAATACAATAATTATATTAATATACATATAGTAATTAATATAATATATTAATATAATTATTATATATATTATTATTATACTATATATAATATAATATAATAATTATATTAATATACATATAGTAATTAATATAGTTATTATATATAATATAATAATTATATTAATATACATATAGTAATTAATATAGTTATTATATATATTATTATTATATTATATATATTATATATTATTATTATATTTTATATATATATTATATATTATTGTTATATTATATATATTATATATTATTATTGTTATATCATATATATTATATATAATTATTTATAATATATATCATTTATTACATAATAAACGATAAGACATTAGGAAAGAAACTTCCGCGCAATTATTTTTGTAGTGCGTTCAAATATTAACGAATGAAAAGTTCCTACAAAATGAGTCGCTTCGTTCAAGATAGGCGGCTATCGTTTCAGGGAACAGAGTTTAGATCAAACGCGGCCCGACAATCGTTTAACGCGTTGCCCTGAATAATACCGCTTGACAATTCCGATTTCATTACACAAATGCGGAACTCCGGGCGTCCAGTTTCACTCCGAGCGATTATTGGAATTCGCCGTCTGTTCGCGGAGCATTCCGTGTCTAAACTCCTTGTTTCGCGCACAAACGTTAGGAAAATTCATAGCAGAGATCTGTATCTGATCAGGGCAGCGTTACCCAACATATTCAATTGATTGGAAAGACACCGACAAGCCGCCGCCTCGCTCGAACCGGAATATTTTTCTAACTGAGTCAATTAATCAGCATTTTCCTTGGCCGTTGACAGCGGAAGTTCGATCGATCAGACGGGGATACGTGCGTTTTACGTAATGCGCGAACTTTCTGATCGCATCTGTTAACACGCGAGTCCCAAGCGATCGCTGACCGGTCCCTCGCTCCGAAAAAGAAGCGATTTTAATGATTTCCCGACGCGTTTCAGCCGTGTCTCGATACAGGAAGACGAAAGCGGGCAGCTGCATTTGAAGAACCTCAGTTTCCACGGCGTCGAGTCTTTCGAGAATGCTTTCCAGTTGCTTTTGGTGGGTGAGAACAATCGGTGAGTCGATGGTAGATTTTACTTATATTTGACAAGGGTTCAAGATAAGGATTCGACAAAATTTCTGTTTCACTCAATTCAAGGTGAAATCTTTAGTGTGGATTGCAGATTTTATGTGCAGTAATTTTTCTCAGAAATGTTCGGATATCGGAGTTGAAACCGGCAGATCCGAGAATGCTAAGTCGCGGCTCTTCGAGCTTCGCGGCTCGTTTTTATAGAAACTCGAGGCAGTCGGCAAAAAAAGGCCGCGGCCAGCATGCCGGTGTAACGCTAGAATGCTGCTAGAATTGCTGGAAATGCTAGAATTCTTTCGTAGTGCTGGAATAAAAACGATGATTTAACTTTTTCTATTTCTAATTTTTTGCCACGATTCGAAGGCAATTTGGAGGCCACGTGACACGATTCGAAGGCAATTCATAGGTCACATGACATGATTCGGAGGTAATTTGGAGGCCACGTGACACGATTCGAAGGCAATTCGGAGGCGACATGACATGATTCGATGGAAATTCGAAGACAATTCGAAGGTCATATGACATTATTCGAAGACAATTCGGAGGCCACGTACACGATTCCAAGGCAATTCGAAGGCCACATTACACGAATTCAAGGCAATTCGAAGACCACATGACACGATTCCAAGGCAATTCGAAGACCACATGACACAATTCCAAGACAATTTGAAGGCCACATGACACAATTCCAAGGCAATTCGAAGACCACATGACACGATTCCAAGACAATTTGAAGGCCACATGACACGATTCCAAGGCAATTCGAAGGCCACATTACACGAATTCAAGGCAATTCGAAGGCCACATGACACGATTCCAAGGCAATTCGAAGGCCACATTACACGAATTCAAGGCAATTCGAAGGCCACATGACACAATTCCAAGGCAATTCGAAGGCCACATTACACAAATTCAAGGCAATTCGAAGGCCACATGACACGATTCGGAGGCAATTCGAAGGCCACGTGCTTCGATTCGACGGCCACGTGCCTTGTAGTTCCACAGTTTTTCTTACCTGACACACACCCAAACAGACCATTTCGTGTTGTCTTCCGGGAATTCGCGTCGCGTGCCGCATCACATAGCATGTCGTAGCAATAAATTACGTAAGCATAGGACTAGCACAGAGAAATTCACAGCAACCCCAACCTTGGCATTTCCTAGAAAAATTACTGTATTTACGATGAATCGTGTAGTTGCTACGACAAACAATAAGCAGCGTTAACTCTTTTCTTTGCTACGTCAATTAGCACATTCTTCCTAATAAAACGTGGCAATTTTTGTTTCTTGTATGTCTTCGTTTTTCATTAATACCTAGATTTTGATAACCGAAGGATCAAGTATTGTTGCGAGCGAGAAGAAATGAGTTAACAGGTTAAACAAAAAAAGAGAAATTACTGTTTGACTTCTATCTCTTGAAATTGATGAAACATAAATCGTAATTCAGCCTGTAACATGAATAATAGCGATTTAAAAAATACTGTATGGATTAGAAAATAACACTGACTTGAAATTTGTCCTCGAAAAAATCAATTAATTGATTAAATATGTTGTTCACAGGGCTATTTTTGAATTGAATTAATTAATCGATCGAATGAATCATGATTTGAATGAATTAATTGATTAGATATGTTGTTTAGGCTTATTTTTGAATTGAATTAATTAATTGATTCATTTATCGAATGAATCATGATTTGAATGAATGAATGAATTAAATATGTTGTTTAGGGTCACTTCAGAAACCCCGATGAACCCCCAGTCATCAAGATCACACTGCATCTTTACCATCGTGGTCTCTATGAAGGAGTTCGGCGCTGATCACTATAAACGGGCGAAAGTGCACTTGGTAGACCTAGCTGGGTTCGTATACCTTCGTCAGTCCGCTTATCCACCAGCGGTACCAGCACGGACAGGATATATGAATCCGACTGCCTTACCGAGGCTATAGTCTGTTTTTCGAAAAAAAGTATCCGATGTCATTCAATTAGTTATTCACTGCAGCCCTGCGTTGCAAATTTAAGATAATAGGAATGAAACAGTGAAGTTTTATGACTTTATGTATTTCATTTTCTATTTTATTTTCTATTTTTTTTTTCGAGGAACATAATAATTAGAGTAGAGTTCAATTGGTATTATTAACCTTGATAAAACCACAGACATAGGATTAAGTCTGTGACAAAACTCTACAGATTCAGGTCTGTGAAACTAGACTGTAAAAAAAGAGTCTTTTGGCTCCTAAATATAGATGGCCCGCTCTGCAGATGCTACAGCAAAAAAATCATAATCGGGAGCCGACTAATTTCATAACTACCCTATAATTAAAGATTAGCCATTAACAGAAAGGTTTGACAATATGCCTTTTAATAAATAACCTCCCATATTAATTAAAAACATTTATCAATATAATTTTCATTCGAATTCTAATTATGGAATCACCAATATAAGATGAAACTGCGCAACGAACTATTTTGTAATTAATTTTTAATCTTGATCTCTTTCACCCAGTCTCATAGTAATTTCTCTAATCTTTAAAATTATTACAAATAATTTAACGATGCCGCTTCAGCCATCGAAGCAATTAAATAAGAAAGAAGAGTCAAAATATCTATATCAAAAATATCTATAAAGAGGAAAAAGGATTTGAGATGACTAACATAACTTTTCTAAAAACGTAATGTGATTATAGTAGACTTCCAATATTTGTTCTTTTGTTTTTTTTTGTAATTGCCATCCGATGGCAGCCGGCAACGTCCAAGATAACGGCCAAGTTAACTTTAATCGAGCGTAAATTTCTGATTGCGCATTAATCGCGTTAAGGAAATAAATTTCGTTGACAACCGTGCAAGCCAGCATCCCACGTTCTTCGGGCAAGCATGTTGCAATTACATCATCGGTGCCGTTCAACCTACTTGTCTGTGACCATTTTTCCATGCCCAGACGCGTTCCGTCGCGTCTCCAGCACGCTTCCTCGGCTGCAATAGCAAATTTCGTAACGGTACACGATTTTTCAGCATGGAATTTTCTATAGGTCTGAACGGGTCTACAAATGCTCGATAAGCGGCACCATACTGACCGAGGCGAAGCACATTAACCTGAGCCTACATTACTTGGAGCAAGTCATAGTATGTCTGGGTCAGGAGAGTGTCGGTCACATTCCGTACAGGTGCTGTACCCGCACTATAGTATTCTAGAATATCGACACGTTCATTTATAATCGGTGGATCCTCAATGTTTTATGTAGAATGGATTTTTGAATGTTTTATGCAGAATGGATTTTCAATTCTTATTAACGTAGCATTGAAATATAAATGCTGCTTAGTATAAGCAGCATTTTATATTTCATTACTAAAGTAACGATAATACGTTTATTGGGGTATTTGTCGATTTTTATTTTAATATTTATCGCAAGTAACAAATTTATTGAATAAATTCCTCGTAAATGTATCTTTATGATCTGAATAATAATAAATTTAAAGATTTGGAAGCTAGTGTTAATTTATTGAAATACGAACGGTGAAAAATTCGTTTGTCCTATTAGAAGTTTTGAAAATATTAAAATTAA